AACATTTTCTTATTGCAAATTATACTTAGTATCATTTCCTCCCCTTTTTTTCCTTTTATTGTTTGGTCTGTTAATTGTATGTAGTTAAAACTTTATGTTGGGGATAAAAATGAAACAAAAAACAATGAGGAGGAGTTATATGCCCTTAGTTTGTCTTTCCATTCTATGGTGTCAGGCATTTTAGTGTGTAAGAAATATTTCTGGAGAGAATTCATAAAAGAATTTGTAATTAAGATGATGTGTTTAAAACATTTGCATGTGTGTTATAAATTTATAGGCACATGTACGTATGTATGTATGCATATATATTATATATGCATATACACATACCCATATATTGAGGCATTGATAAATTTTATCTTGCTTTTATTTATATATATATATATATATATATATATATTAGTGCATATTCCCACACATCATATATTATTAAATGTCACTGTTAGGAATTAAATTTTCAGGTGGACTGGGATGCCCAACATCTGAGAGTGACTCTATAGTTAAGTTCTGCTTGATATGGTGAAGAGTGAGATAAACGATTGTTGACAATTGTGTAGCAGAAATCACCAGCTTCACAGCTGTCTGGCTAAAGTGCTGGTCTAGATAGAAGCCACCTGTTGTTGGTTATGAGTTTTAATCTCACCCTGTTGGCAAATCTTTTGCTTGGCTTCCAAAAGCAGTTTTAACTTGAGCGATATAAATGTGTGTAAATATGATGTGTGCATAAACTGTACACAATAAATAGAAAGAAAAATTGTGTTGCAAAAAAGAAAAAAAAGAAATAATTGACATTAATTACAAAAAAGATTTAAAAAAAAAAAAAAAAAAATAAACCAAAACATTCCTTATTTGATAGACGTTTTTTTTTCTTTAGTCAGCAGATTGGTGACTGAATATTGCTCTTAACAAAATATTCCCCTCCTTTCTTGCTAACTTTTTCTTGTTTGTTTGTCATTTTGGTTTTCTTATTCAACAATCACTACCAAAAGAAACTTTTTTTTTTTTTTCGTTTTAAGATGAATATGAGGACAAAGATTTATGTGAATCTATTTCTTTCTGCAAATAAAAACTCGTTATTTTATGGCCATTACATTTGCTTCCTTGTTTTGACATCTTTTGTATGCATAAAAGAAAGAATGACATGCTGTTTCCGTGACCTCTTCAGTGTTGTAATGTGTCTTACAAAACTTAGAATGAACGAATATTGTATTAACACTTGTTCCCAGTGCCATCATTTGCATATTAGGGAAATTTTAATTTCAACTATCCCATTGTTTTGAAATTAGGTAAAAATTCTGAGCCTAAGAAAGTAGGAATTTATGGGAAGAGAAATAAGTTTAATAAGAAGCAAGGACTTGTTTGCCAAAATCTGTTTCTCTTAACCAGCTTTGTTGTAAATTGGTAAATAATGAGCACTGGAATCCACATATTAAAAGCCATAGACCAAGTGCCTTCTGCTTTTCCATGTATGTGTTACCTATTAGTGTCAGTAAAACTGCAATGACAAGAGAACCCATATGTATCCGAAGTGGTAGAAAAATGATGGCATCATTCTTTGTTAATGTAATACCAAACATTTTTTTTATCTTGCAAAGAAGATTGTAAAATATGAAGAAATGCTGAAAAATCATTGGCTCAAAAGTGGCTTAAACTGTACATGAATAGAATGACCAATTTATGGTCCTAGGCTAATATTGCCCCCAGCAGAACCCATACTGTCCCCAAGGGTGGGGACATTTGGAGTTATGAAGGAGGAGCAATGAACAAAATACTAGATGGGCATTTAGAAGTTTGAGTGGTGCACTGTGCACATTTTTATATCATCCATTGTATTTAATTCACTGAGGAAGAGCAAACTGTGCTGCTAAAGTGTTTTTTATTTTTTTAAAGAAATAGTCCAGTTTATAAAAATGGACAGATGGCCTAGTGTTATTAATATCAGTGTGTGGAATGCACTAAAACCAGGATATTTTTGGTTTTCAATCAAATAGGTTCTGTGATAGTTTTGTTTTGTTTTTTTTAAATTTCAATTAGCTATTTTAATTGCATTAAAGAAATTGCTATATATCGAAATAGTTGCCTGTTTACATACAAACAAGTCAGGTTGTTAGGTCCTTCAAGGAATCTTTATTTTTGCTTGTCCTTGTTTGTAATATCTCAAAACATCTTGGTAACACTGTTCATTCTTCAAAAGAATCTATTAGATCACTGCAAAAATTTATGCCTGATTTTCATTTTATTTATATAAAATGACTACAAGTTGACATTAGTGCATTCTAGATTGAAATCTTGTATCATTTGGTTGTCATATTTTGTTGAATGTTGATCACAATTGAATGCCTTAAAGATGGAGGATGATTTGCACTTTTGTCATATGTTCTATGAATTTCAGAAAGGAAAAGGTTATTTGGATCATGCTCCAGTTTCTGGATGGTCAAGAAGTGATTTGGTTTATTCTCCACAATGGCACTGACAAAATTTGCCTAAAGGTTTTGATGGAAATTGCTAATAGTTTGCAAATAGCAAAAGGCAGTCGAGAGATTTTTCAGAGACAGGTTTGTTTCAAAACTCCACATGTGGATGCCATATTCTCTAACTAGTGTGATTGTGTTTCTTTGCCCGTTACACCACAAAAAGGAGTTGTTCTTGGACAGAATTATCACAGGCAATGAGAAATGGAACATTTGATAGTGTTTGATGAAAACTGAGCAAGAAACAAGCTTGTGAATGTGCAGAACATGTGGCTAAAACCGGCTTGCATTCAATGAAAGTCAGTGTTGCAATTCACTGTTTCTTCCAGGCAGTGAAATAACTCCAAAGAAGTATTGTAACCAACACACTAATCTCAATGTGGTTATTCAAGAAAAACAGTTGATTTTGGCAAATCAAAAAGGTGTCATTTTCCACCAGACCTTACAGAATCTTAAAGAGTAGAAATGGGGAAACACTCCAGCACTCAACATATTCTTCTAGCTTGGGCCCTTTGGATTTTTCATCAGTTCTGGTCTAAAACAATTTACAGAAAACAATGGCAAATGAGTATATAAAATTGTTTCTAATATTTTAATTGGGTACAGACTTTTGCAATCATCTAATGACTTAAGCTACATATCAGCAAACCATCCACCCCCACCCCCCCAAACAGGCATTTGAAAACCTGAATTTCTGATAATAGTAAACTTTCATCTGGACTAGCGAGTGTCAATCAGTTTCTTAGCCACATAGGGAAATTAGTGGCTAGGCAAAATACAAAATAAAACCTTAAACAAAAAAAGTAAAGTATTTAAATAGATTTATTCCAATGCTTTTTTTTTTTTTTTAATTTCTTTGAAAGTCAGATTACAATTTTATCCGTTTTGTTTTCTTGAATATGCAATCTAATGATTCAATACTTGCTCAAGTAGTTTTAATTTAGAGTAGCAGTGTGCTTTTTTTTTATTTATTAAAGCAAAAATATTTGACAGTAATTTTTATTTAGGAAAAAAAAAAAATCTTGATTTCAACTGATTTGTGTTCAAAAAGAATAGAAAACTAAGACAACTTCATATTGCTTGACAAAAGTAAACAATATTTTGCATTAACTAGTTTTGACATAGTAAAAAAAGTTTTTAAAAAAAATACAAAATCACAATTGTTAGATCTTAATGAAATTTTTTTTTTTTTTTAATTCTTGTTTAAGGATGATTTTCTTTTAAGTTCCCATTTCAATTTTTGGAAAAAATTAATTTGATTTTTAGTTTGTTTATAATAATCTTTGTATTAAAATTCCATACTGAAATATGTCCCATTAACTTTTTTTTTTTAATCTTTAACTGATACACTTCAAGAACTTAAAAATATATTACTCCTCAGAGCAAGTCAATGGTTTTTGCCAATTTGGTAAAGGGATAATGGAACTAAATGAATTTTGTTGGTGAAAAAAAAAAAATTTTTTTAAACTAAAATGATTTTTGCTGATAAATATAAACATTAACTTTAAAAATTAAAATCATTATTTTACATAGTCTTTTTCTTTTCCAGCAAAAGCAAGAAAAATAAACCCTTAACCCTTGCAAATAGGGATACATTTTTATCTTTAATCTCTGTGATACTTTTCATGAATGGTATTTTTTTTTTTTTTTGCTTAATGACATTGGGATATAGAATATAAGTGCAAAGATTTTCTCAAATGTCAGAAAAACAATATTTACTGGACCAATAGTATTTTGAAAATTAAAGTTTTTCTGCAAAAATATCTTTAAATTTTTATGAATTTACTATTGCTGAATAAGTATTTGGCTTTTTCTATTATAAGCATGGAGAATATCATTATGTGAAGAGAATAATGAAAGGTTTGAAAAGCTTCATAATAGACTGCAATGATTGCAGTCAATAGTTTTACAAGTAAAATTAAGTTGGACAGGTGACACCTTAGAGAGTTCAGTCAGTGAAATGCTTTTCATTGATGAAAACTTATTTACAGATGATACTCTTTTTGACAATGGAAGGAAAATTTCAGGATTGTAGAGAGTTAGATCCCCCCAACAACAACAAAAAATTAATTTATAAAATGATGTAAAGAGGATTTTTGAAAATTGAATTTAAAATGAATGTAAATAATTACAGCCACTACCTTTTGATAATTTGGAGTGTAATAGTAAGAAACATGCTTCGTATTTCTTTGTTTTAAACTTTGTAACATTGGCAACAATTTGATTTGGCTCAAGACTACATATGTTTAATGATTAGTATATTACATTAGTAAAGCTTTATCATAACCAGTTTTGTAATCTCATTGAGAAATACTAAAGCTGAAATAGGTATTTTGCTGCAAGCAGTTTATCATACATCTAAATATATGCAAGTTGAAAATGAAAGGATACTCATTAGAAAAACAGTGTATAATTTTAAGAAACAAAACAGTAAAAACATTCTTGTTCACTTATGAATTAATAATAAAGAAATTTAAGATGAACAATTTATTCTGAATGAGAATAGGAAATACAGAAAATGAGCACTCATCAATTATCTATAACATTTGAATGGATTGTTGGCAAGTCATGAATACCATCTTTGTCAATAACACGTACATGGAATGAGGGAAGATTGGCAATTAATCTCCTTTTGATCTGGGGAGAGAAAAGAAAAAAAAAAATTCAAAGCATTACACAATTTACAAGAAATTAAATATTGCTCTAACACTTTTCTTAAAATGACACATCTATCACAAGAGTGACCATGAGTTTGTAAATGCACAAAGCATTTTGAGGAATCACAGTTACGTCCCTTGCATGACTTTTCATAAAGAAAATTAAAAATAATTTCCCTTTGAAAATAGTATATTAAAATAAATTTTGAACCTTCAAAAACAAATTTGTTTTGCTAATTATTATGTGAAGCCAACATTACAAGGTGCTGAAAGGTTATCAGCTGATCAGATTTTTGTTTTATTTTTTTTTTAAAGGACTTCTTGGGAAACTGAGAACTATTTAACACCTAATAATTAAATTACTTTTTCTCTTGAAAGTGACATAGCCAACTGTAAAACACCTGCTAAGGGTACAAATATCATCAAAACACCCAAACTTGTACAAAAGTTGTAGAAAAATTATAAGAACTCCCAGAAAGTCAATTAACAACATTGCTAAAGAGCTTGAAGTTCCAAGGCACACTATCAAAAATGAATTGCACATACATACACATCACATGTAATGCAGAGGCCAATTCATGCCTGCAAAGACAAAAGATCTCTACATGCATGGTGAGCAAGCTGAAACCTCCAAAGCCTAGAATGCTTTTTCTCCAAGAAAAACTGATCAGGACTAAAGGAATGGTTATGTAGAAACCCTAAGGACATGCCAATGGTCATGTACACAAAGGTTTCTGGCAATTGATATTTCTTTCCTTGGGGCTTACGGGTCAATGCCACTGACTATAAGGAGGTGGTGCTGAGTGTTGTGATGTCTCAGTATGTGCAAAGGAAGACTGTACATCCACCAACAAGACACGATGCTGTCTTATAAGACCCAAAAAAAACAAGAATAAATGAATTACAATTTCCATACATAGTAATCTGCAGATTACTACATATGGATCAGTTGAGAATGAAGTAATTCAATATCACCATGACACTAAAATTTCTAAAGTCAGCCATAACTAGCACCACGTCCAAAATAGAAAAAGATCACCTGATTCAAGCATGTCAACATTTCAGACCTCATATTAAAACTGTCGTCAGTTCTAATGGTGGATTCATTAAGTAGATGCAACAAGATGATTCATGCACCCCCCATAATATATATATATATATATATATTCAAATTGATACAGTCATAGTGAAGTCTAGCCTTTTAACTTAAAAAATCATGTAAAACAATTGGTACTATCTATCATAGTGGACTGTCAGCAAACACCGAGTAAGACTAAGTTTCCTTCATATTCACTACCATTTTGCTGCTGCTTTTTTTTTTTTCTCAATTCAGACTTGTATCTGAAAGTCACTCTTAATGCCAATGTTAAATCTTTATAGCTCATCATTACAAAAATAAGCTCTACAGGTGAACAGACTAAGTGTAAAGTAAGATTTTATCTGCATTCAATGATTTGACTCATTTTAATATCAAAAGTAACATCTCACCTCATCAACACACTGGCACAACAAGTCATAGGCTTCAGACTGAGTCATATCTGAAATGGATAAAGAAACCATGGAGTGAATGCTAAAAGAAGAAGAAAAAAAAAAAAAAAAAAAGGCACATGAATGTCTGCTACAGTATATTAATCCTGTATGCAATGGCTACTAAATTACATCCTCATTGAATGACCCACAAATTCTGTGTTGAAGTTGGCTTCATAGAATGAATATGAAAAATATCTGATTACACCAATTATATTAATAAAGAAAAAGATCTAGCTAGCTATACTTCTGAGCATAACTGATATGTATCAACCTATTTAATGTAGTGTTCTGTTTTAATACTCGGAAACATTCAATTTCATTTTTTTTTTTTTAAAGACTTCATTGAAATATTTTAAGCTTAACGATTGTGTAAAATCTTGAGTGAGATGCACAAAGATAAAATCTGTACAGAAACGAAACAAATTTTGTCACTTTTCAAGAGATGACAAATCAGTGTCATGCAACATTAACTATTTTACATCCAGCTACTCATCTATAGATTCTTATGCTAATTGTTGAAAATAAAGCAATTTGCTTAAAATTCTTGCACAGATTTGATTCACCCAAACTACAAAGTTCAACACAGCAAAAAGTAAACCAAAATTAATAAATTTTTCTTTAACTTGCAGGATTTGGTTTCTGACATGTTATCTATTGAGTGTTATTTAGCTATACAGATACACCACCTCGGGGTACCCCCGGGTATGTAATAGTTAGCAAGCTTGTCTCGCTAGAACAATTACGACTGAGTAGTGAATTCGATCCTCACTGGGCGCCCTATACTTTCAGCCTTGTGCCACATCTAAGCTATGCTTGGAAAGTCTACAGATAAATACCAGAACTTCAATGAATTAACAGATTAAAACAAAGATTTCAATCCATTTAAGAATATGCTGGTGTGTCTTTAGAGAGAGAAAGAACAAAATAAATTTAAAAAAAAAAATTATTTTTAATTTATTTTGGTCCCACAATGTCTGAATAAATTTAATAATGTAGCAGATGTTCACCTGGTCTTTTATGCTTGAGAGCACATTGTCTGTCAGTCAGTCAAACACAAGTATGTTCCACTCATTCCTAGCTTTTGGGCAAGACACTTTCAAAACCTTTCCAACCAGAGCACTGCATTAATAAGAATTACAGCAGTCATCGTTGTGTCTCTCTCGCTGAGTCATTTCTCTACAGACAGCCAGCATCTGCTGCTGCTGCAGCAGCAGTGTGCACACAAACTTACACACAGTTGGGTAGGGAAAAAGGAATGGAGATTTCCAGTTCCTTCCCCACTGTTTCTCCTTCTCTTTATGTGTGTTTTGCCTCTTCCGAGTTCCTGACTCATACAATTAAAAACTGATTCAATATGTCCCTGGTGAAATACCCATGTTACCAAGCAGCACTTCTGCTCATATCAATTCAAACTCCTTTCATTTTCACCAGTCACCAACCAATTGTATAATTTAACAAAATAAAAGTTAGTAAATTGTTTATTTCCCTGTGGTTGTAATAAAGCATGTCAATCTACAAACATGTATTTAAGCAGATCATATAATTCTTTGTATCATCTGGACTGTTAGTTACAGGGGGGGGGGAATCCTTAGTATAACATATAGGATAGGAATTTGATGACAGGTAATGCTTTTAATAAGACTTTTTTCACAAATTATCAGAGGCATGAACTCAAAGGCAAATAGCCACACTCTTGTCACAATTAATAAAATCTGATATCCAAAGAATGAGTGAGGGAAAAAAAAAAAAAAAAAAAAAAAAAAAAAACACTTAACACTCACCAGAAAATTCCTAGAAATATTCAGCTGTGAACATCAAATAAGTATTTTTGATTAGAATTTTTTCTTTTCTATTCAGTTCTTATAAATTTTCACAAAAAAAAAAAAAAAAAAAAGCAAACAATAAGCTTGTTGACCTGGTGCCAATTCCTGCTTTTTATAAGTCTGACACTTGAAATTTGAGACTTCTCAGCTGCATTATTTGAAGTTTGACAAAGTTTACTATGATCATTCATCAAGCCAAGTACTACACACATGAAGTGGTCATGGATAAAGATACAATTTTTTTTTTTTTTTTTAAACTTATCAATTAATGATGTCATCAATTAATTTTTTTTCTCCTCTAGTCTACAATATGCACAGCAGACTTCAAGAAAAAAAAAAAAAAAAAAAAAAAAAAAAAAAATCGCATTATCAATTTTAACTCCCCCACCCCCATGATACAAGAGGTCAAAAATCTAAGTTCAAAGCAGCTGCCAATAGAAATACTTTCCCTACCCAAAATGGTTAATCTTACCTCACATTGTAATGTCATAGCCCTATTCCAAGCAATTTATTTGCAAATTCTGACAACTACCGACTTCTTGTAATATAGTCATCTTAGTATTGCAGTAATTTCAGTTACATGATTAAAAACAAATTTTATTAGTTTCATTCATTCCTTAAGTGACTAAAAAAAAGTTAAAGTTCATTGGACACAGATTTTTCTTTTACCACACAATGGCCTTTGATAAATGAACATTCATTTTTTTTTTTTTTTTTTTTGTGAATATGTCCTAAAGCAATCTGAAAGACCTTTTTGCATCAAAATTTATTGAAAGTAAACAGAAGATTTCTTGGAAAGATTACTCTTCAATCACATTTAGAATAAACTGTTTGAAACACACAAGAGAGAAAGATTTCATAAAAAACAAATACAAAAGGAAGTATACCTATGTTTTATAGATTATGTAAAAATTGCAGTTGATAAAGTATATCACAAAAAATTGAACTGCTAAGTAAGCTTGATTTATTTGGGAAGCATATAAAAACAATGCAAAACTTATATGCAGGCAATTTGCTTCCAGTATGTATAGAAAATGAATTCAGTAAATACACAAAAAATAGAAAGGGACATAAGACAAGGATATGTCTTCTCACTGAACTTATTCAACCTTTACAGTGAGACGATTCTGAGAGAGTTAAACTAGGATTCATTATCAGTGGCCACAATTTTAACAATATAAGATATATATAAGTGTTGATAGCAGACATGAAAAGTAAACTACAGGCACTACGACAGAATGTAGTAAAAGAAAGCAAGGAGAAAGAACTAACCAATTATTAGGACAGAATATATGGTTGTCAGCAAAGGGAACAGCCTGAGAGTACAAACTACAAATTGGAGACACCAATCAAGTACAAAAAATTTAAACATCCAAGTAGTGTTTTAAGAAGACAGTAAATGTAACTCCAAAATTCAAAGGTGCATTGGAATAGCAAAAGCTACCTTTGTGACAGAGAGAGTATAGGAAACGCACACACACACACACGTGTGTGTGTGTGTGTGTATATATATATATATATATATATATATATATATATATTTTAGTGAAATTGGGTGGATTTGAACAGCGAAATTAGATCAGAGCATTTTTGTTTACTGATGTGGAAATTTGATCTAGGGCAGAAGTTGAATCTGGGTCATCAAGAGACAATGGAAATGGTCAAAATAATTTTTATCGATTAAAAACTGAAATAGAGCTGAGTAAGCCAGAAAGAACTTTAGAATTCACATGATTTTGGTTGAAACAGCCAAAACCCCATGATAATCACATGCAAAGCAGTAGGGCCAAAGTTCAGTTGTAACCAGCCGGATTTTTCTATATAAACGCATAGTTATGCTGCAAAAGACAGATGGGCGAGCATGCAGACAGGAGAGAGAGAGACAGAAGAGAATTAGCCTGAGCAAAAGTTGGGCTAGAGACAGTGGAGAGTCGAGTTGGAGACTCAAGGAGAGAATGTGACGTCAGAGATTGGAACGAAGCTAACATGTACTGTTGGTATAAGTACCGCTGCTTCTGCTACCACGAATATTACTACTACTGTTACTACTACTAAGGAGGAATGCCACTATAAACTTTAAGCTGAGCACAGAAATCTTATTCCCCGATCGCAAGAGTCATATATCGCTCTGAGATAATTTAACAACAAGTTAATCATAACACACTCTCTGTCCAAAATCCAGTGTATGCATTTTTACGTTAATTACTTTTCTTTTCTGTAACCCATTTTCTTTTCTATACTATTCTTTTCTGCTATATAAAAGACATTAACAATTCAATCATTGAATAGTTGTTTGTCTGGCTTTTAATTTTTTTTTTTATTTTGCTGCATTTAAATTTCTTAGCGCAGACTACCCAGCCGTGTCTACATCTTCAATCGACCGTGAGTAGATGAACATCACTTCTGCTTTCTGGATCAAACCAAACGTGGGCAGGAAGCAGGATTAAACCAGTGGACTGGTCGAATAATCTACGGATGCTCAAGGGACCTACGGCCACTCCCTTAAGTTCGGTTAGGACCAAGTAGACACCTCAACCCAGAGAGTAAGACGGCAGAGGTTGAGGGGCTGGGGTGAAAGTGTTAGACCTTTCAAAAGGCAAGCAAAGTATTAAGAAACAGGAAAACCTCATTAGAAACCAAGAGTACTGGACTGTTATATAATATCAGTCCTCCAATGTAGAAATGAATGCTGGACAATTTTCTCGCAAATAAAAAAAAAATTTGAGGTAACAGAAATGTAGTTCTACAGAAGGAATATCACAGCCTAAACATGTGAGCAACAATGAAGTTTTAGAGAAAATGGAAACAAAAAGATACTTGGAAAGAGACGATTGTAATTTCTCAGGCACGTCAAAAAAAGAGGGCTTGAAAAACTTAACACTCACAGGACATATTGAAAGCAAGAGGAACAGAAGAAAGTAGAGCATAAACTGTAAATGGTTGGCAGAACAAGGATTAGTAGAGACAAATACTGCTAAGATCTACAAGGGATAGAAAGTTGTGGAGATGCATGATTGCCCATGTCCTGAAAGGACACGGCCTATAGAAGAAGTAATAAGAAAAGGTAGAGGAAAGAATAGTTTAAACTATTCTTTCTTCTACCTTTTCTTATTACTTCTTCTATAGGCTGTGTCCTATATATATATATATATATATATTTTATAGATGGGATTTGTCTTGATTCA